AGAAGATGGATTAATCTGATTTTGTGTTAGGGTGTTTAGGTATTAGTGTATATTTATAAGGGGGGATTCTTGTAACGTAAGGAATTGGTGTTGTATTTGGATTATAAGGAATCTAGTTTGTATCCTATAAGGAAAATATTTTTCCTTATATACAAACTACTTGTATATAAATATATTTCCTTAATTGATGTTTTATTTCTCAATTTAATAATGAAATTTAAAAAACAAATACAGATAATTACGATTTTAGAGATCTACACCCAATAATTACGGCCACACCTGAATTATGATCAAATTATGAAACCCCCCTCATGTTTAAGTAATTACAGCAACCCCATCAACTTTATATTATCTTACGAAAATACCCCACCATAGGTAATTTTAGGATGTTAAATCGGTAAAACTGAACCAAAATTTTGGTACACCAACATTTCATACTGTTTACCGAACTGAATATACGATTTGGTTCGGTAATAACCGAATTACATAAATTTTAGGATAAATTACAACAATCCCTGAGGTATGGTCAATTTACGAAAAAACCCTCTTGTTTGAATAATTATATCTACCCTCTCAACTATGTTTTTTTCTTACATCTCCACCCTTTATGGTATGAAATACAACATAATCATCTAGATTTCGTGGAATGTGCTCTAGTTTGTACTCGTTTTGTGTAACAATACAGTTTCTAATGCACCACAATCTGGTATATATACAAGCCAAAAAACACATATTATGATCATCTTGCTTCAAAATGTGGAGTTCGAATGGGATAAAACAGGTACAAAAGTGATAGTATTCCATATAATCTCGAAGATTTCACTAAATTTAAAATTGCAAGGATGGACGTGTAAGAAGATTTATAATTAATGGGTGGTTATAATTACCCAAACAAAAGGGTTTTTTTTTGTAATTTAACCATACCTCAGAAGGTGGTTGTAATTTACCCTAAATTTTATGCAAAAATATTTAAAAGGAGGGTGGTTGTAATTACCCAAACAAGAAGTATTTTTTTTTCGTAATTTGGCCATACCTCATTGGGTGACCGTAACTTGCCCTATGGGGAATATAAAGGTTGTTTACGGCCACAATAACCCGTTACAGCCATGCACGTAGACAAGTTTTCAACCATAAAAAAACTAATACGACAAAACAAAATAAACTCCGACATAGTAATACATCGAGATCGTGGCACCATCGTTGATGTCTGAGAACAAATTTAAAATCATCGAACGACCGCTTACTACTTTTGCATGATACTACGAAACTTTGAGTTCAATGAGAAAAATAAATAAAATAAAAATCATTTGCTGGTAATTTCTGATGTTTTCGGTTCAATTAAATGGACTTGTTGAGGAAGAAGATCGTATACGATACTCAACTCTTCGAAAATCCTTTTCATCTCCAGCACGAATTCCGATCTTCGTCTGCTCTTTTCTTTGTAGTCTTGGAAATTCATCGTGTGGTTGATAAATACGGCCATCTTTATTTTGTTTATGTTTTCGATTTCCTTCACCACGAAACTGTGATTCGGATGCCAATTCTGCGGATTTTTCTCCAAGTACCTACAATTTTCAAAATGCATTATATATATAGTATCACACGCAACACAAACGAATAAGTAACCGATTTCCCAATTTACATACAAGGGAATAATATAACTTTATTTTCCTTCATATTTTTTTATAACCACTAAAAAGACACGATGAAACGTAAAACATAACTTACTTTTTGATTTTCTCTTTAAGGCTCCCGATTTTCTCGACTGGGGTCTTGAAATCAATGCAGAACTCGAGATTGTCGCCCATATCCGGACTTCGATAGAAATTGCTAATAGGTTTGGTAGACAAAACGGAATTCGGATAAAATACTTTCTCATTATCCGATTTGAGAAACACAGTCGTCAGTATATTCATCTCTTCGACAACCATCTGCAATTATCCCAAAAAAAAAAAATATTGAAAAAAAATGAAATCGAGAAAATTAAGAAGCAAAAGTATAATTAGTGAAAGTTAATAATACCTGAGTACCGTCGATAACGCAGCGATCTCCAACGTCGAAAGGGTGCATCACAAATACGAAGATAATAGCTTCGAATATTGTCTTGCATGTGTTTCCGAAAACAAAGACAGCTAAAACGAGCTGTGACGAGAAAAATACGAGAACTTTTGTGGTTGCTATTCCAGTTATGAGAAACCATATTATTACGATTATAATAAATAAAACCACCGTAACAAGCTTGTTTAATTGCTTTACAGCTGTTTTTGTGTCGTTGAGCGCATGTGCTAGTGATTTTCGGCTTTTGTAAACCTTCACCTGTATAAATGTTTTTTAAGTATAAAATGT